AAGGCATGTGATGTGGTCGCCAAAACATGAAAATGTTCTTTCAAGAACTGTCTCGACCGGAAAAGGTACCAGTATTACATAATAGAACAGTGGCAGTGTCAAAGGGGAACTTCAATACTATTTTTATATTTCGAGGTTAGAAAAAAATCAGCATTGACGAGTGCAGTTCAAACCACAATAAAAGTCAAATGTACACAGTAACGTGTAAATCTCCAATTTACATCACAAAATAGATTAAATTTCCAGGTCTGCACAGCGCCATGTTCTGCAATTCAGAACAAGACAACAAAACTTCCAGTGACGTGAAGCAGCTTCATTAGATTATAGACAAGCAGGCTGGTGAATACTCTTTTAATCCAAAAGAAATACTGCTCTCAATTTCGAGGAGGTTTTGCCAACAAATACTATTTACTTGTTAACTCGCCATGCAGATCACATTGGAACATTTCTGCAGTGAAAAGTCTGCTGCACAGCCTGTACTGATTCGCTTGACATCACTTTACAGTAGTCATTACAGTGACTAGGGAGCAGGAAGGGCGGCATCACATGGCTATTGGAAACTCTCTCTCTCGCCCGTGGAGACGCCAGGGGTTTGCAACAACATGGAGACTTACAGTGCTTTCACAAAGTTCACGATTTTGTTCTCAATTCGAAACTTGTTAAAAGTTTTCTATACTGTCAATTAATTAATTATATTACTGAGATCAAATAACCAGTCTGAGACATTGTGACTGCAGTTCCCCTTTCAAATAGTGCAGAACCATTTGGTTAAAGGCTGCAGCTCAGTGTTGACATCATTTTACACAAAGCTTGAGAGAAAGGCGAAGGCTGTTTTTTTGTATTTTAAAAATTTCCTGGAGGTGCATTTGGCCTTACCTGCCACTGTAACCCTCAAGCTAAACACAAAGCAGCATCAGTATGTAAATCAGCCCTGCCTCTGTAATGCTACCTAAATCGATCCAGCCGGAATAACAACTCAGCCTGCATGCTACATAATCTTCAGGTCAAGGAATATAATGACTAATTCATCCAAATATAGTCGTGGCAACATAACCTTCAGGTACTCAGGAAATCTAAACAACAGCAGACGTTCTTAACGCAGAGGCAGACGTGTCCTGAGATGGAATAGTTCTCAGTTGCCAGGAAGGACTACCCTGTTTGCAACACAAAAAGGACATTTAAACTGCAAATGACTGTGAAATGCGCATACCAATCTCTGACCCCCCCAAGCCTGTGCCGATCAATCAGCTTGTTGCTGGTTGCTATGGAAATGCAAGTTTCACCAGGAGTTGTCTTAACTGTTCAGTGCTGTGTCTGTGTGCGCTGCAGATGGACTTTGTGGAATAGGAGGCCGTGTCTTTGTCAAAACATGGGAACAACCTGAACAGAACTGGCCCAGATGTTAAAAAAAGGCATTATTTGGCAAAATATTTTGACGCTCCTTTGAAAAACTGCTGCCATGTGACGGCCAAACCACTCAGGACTAACTTCGAAACTGCACGTTCTTCAGTCTAACCCCCTTCTACTTTATCATACCTTATGCCACAGACACTGAAGGCTCTGAATCCCATTACAAGATATGCACCCAGAGATGCTAATGAATCTGGTGCTTAAAGTGTAACTAATTACACTGCTCATGAATACCGACACACACAAGCTGATGTGATTATTGCACACCGAGAGCTACTTTAAACGTAAACAAACAGCTTTGGTAAATACAAATAAAATGTGATTTGAGAGAGCAGGCTGAACCATAAGAATCCTGGTGTGGGAATTGTGAGAATGGAAGGGACAGGCCACACAGCACCTCTGTTTGCCCAGAGTAAACTCTTGTTTTTAAACCCGGGGGAAGGGCACAGTGAAGAAGGGCTAGGAGCTGGGAGGACGGACTGAGCCACATTCTTCTGGTTAAAGTCCAGTCAGGGGAATCATCAACAAGGGACCACAATACTTTGGAAAGGGACCACATTATTATGCACAGAAAGATTAGAATAAAAAATGCTTTGAAAAACGAGAGTGGAAGAAAGGGTAGGAGGGTGGTAAGGCCCCACTGCAGCAACAGGCAGGTCTGTCCAGGTAGCCTGCAGTATTATGAGCTCTTATATACACTGTAAATTGCACCCTTCAGCTTTCAGCAGTCTAAGCCCATAGAACAGAAAATGAAGACAATGTTCACCAGCTCCTGGTTTAGAAACAAGACTTTGTTCTCAGCCCGGATGGCAATCTGACATGTGTTCACAAAGCTTCTTGAACAGAATGAGTACTTGAGTAATCCTCAAAGGGCTAAAACAAATACACAGTTCAGAAGTTAAAAACTCTGACTGATATTAATGCAGATGACAGCACAAATGTGTAGTATGTAACTAAAACCTTTCTTAAAATGCACAGAACACCTTCAGCATAATGAATGTCATTATTACCTAAATTTACCTACATTTATACAAGCTCCTATTATGGATGAGGCCTGGACCAGGTACAGTCAACAAAGCATTTTAAAATGTCAAAACAGTAGTCTGATCAATTTAAACATGAAAGTGGGTCAATTTTGAAATGAACAAAGAAGAGACATTTTAACTAAACATGCTAGTTTGTTTCACATAATAGTCCTAGGAAGCTGAAAGATGTTTGTTTCTTAGCATAGAAAACAAGTCACATTCTCTGAGCTGTACAATTGTAAATGAAGAGATTTGTGTCACCTATCTAGCTGCCATTAATTATTCAAGACACCATAAAGATCACACTTTCCCAGTGTAACAGGATTTGGCAACAGGAGCAAAGTAGGTGAGAGATACTTATTTCCTTAGGAATTCACAAGTGGTTTTGTCAGATGTGGATATATTAGGGTCTACAAGACAAAAGCTGGAGACTAGGTTCTGAAGCCACACACAATAGAACAATTGTGAAGATCATAGGTTAACCAAAATGACCTGAAAGGCTTCTCAAGTTATGAGAATTCTGATTTAATCAACTACAACAATACTCGTTCTTCAGCACCATTATAAATCTAAAGCCAGTGCAAGTCCATGCAGATGTAAATTGACCTTAACCATGTTTTAGTTGCCTTTTGTTTAGAGCCAGCATATTCGTCCTGCAGATCCGTGTGTCCCAATACCTCGATCACATCCGTCAGGCAACTGGCCCGAATAAGGATCATTAAGAGGAAAGTACGTCTCCACCGTATGTGCAGCTAGGATTTCGGGATCTGCCGTGCAACAGCAAAAAGAAAACCGTGAAACAGGAGTCGCCTGAGCACGTAGGCAAAAGCCAACAGTCCAAAAGAACAGGAGCGCAGAAAAGCAGATGTTACGGCCGAGGAAAATAGGGGGCCACCTGTCTGTTTCATGTCACAGCCTCAATCGAAGACTTATCGCGTAGTGATCCCACATTTATGAAGCGCAGCAACCCAGCGCACACATAATTACCAATAACAATAAAGGGAAGCAAAAGAAATCCACATCTGTCCGACGATACAACAGATGCCGGTAAATGTGTAATGTGTAAAAAAGCAAATAAAGTAATTTATGGGCAACAAAATGAAGCAAGGAACAACAATGCTCCTACTTAAATTCTTTAGCTTACTTTCGCATCTAAACCCAGTCAACTTGCCGCTGTATATGAAGAGATTCAAAAGAGATTTCGTAAAGATTAACCACAGCCGAGTAAATCACATCGACTTATTTCAGGACACAAGAAATACTGATTATGCAATTGATGTCACATCACAAAATTCACCATGCAATTTTTTCTTTTGCAAAACTGCGTTTTAACTTTTCATACTTAAAAAAAAGCTATTTCCTACGGCTAAAAATGAATCATAGTGGTTCTGAATACCAGTGAAAACTCGATTTGTTTAAAAACATTGCCAACAACTGCAGTGTACCTCAGAAACATAAAACCAAACAAAATCTTACCTCAATAAACAAAATTAGCAAGCCACACGTGTGCACATTGTAACCTGTTCTTTCTCAACCAGTGTGTTATTTTCGCAACCACTCTCAAAACAGTCTACAAAAGTAACAAAGTAATGTATTTTCTTCTGCTATCGTAATTTGCCCCTCATGTTATTAAATATTGAAATACAGTATTGCAAAACTACTCTCAATAGCACTAGCTTAGTCCCTAAATCTGGAGAGACTACTGGATTCTCAAACAACTCCGAGACAAACTGCCATGAAAACAAGAGAAATTGAAAGACGACTGTAACGCAACTAAACGTTTTGTTCATCTCTTGACACCTGGAAAACAGGATAAATTCAGGAATGTGCCTTGCAAGACGATCAACCAGGCAAAATATTATAAACCTGCCTGCACTGTTCCACACATCTGCTCCAAGCATACCAGTCAAGATAGAACACGTTGCGTTACTGATCACATTAATCCACTGCAGACCAAAACTCACAGAATTTATTTTTTAAGTGTCCCCCGAAGGCATTACACCGTTGATTACACAGAAAAACGATATTCCCAGCACTTTAGAAAAGTACCGTATTCACATGACTTTTTTTCTCGAGGAAAAAACTTTTTTTACATGCATCTTAGTTTGACGTTAAATTCGCTATAAAGGAGCATAGTGATTTCTATAAATTATAATCATAAAAATAATAAAATTATGTGTTCCCTGACGATGCAGTTAACAATGAAAACATTGCCAGGCTTTCTTGATATCTCAACAGGATAATTCTCCAATCCAACTAAGGCTGTACTCAACTGTGTTCGGTGATACAATGACAATGTAAAAACAGAACGTACTTTGCGCACTCTCATGTCTTGTAAGCAAGATCAAATACAAATAATAAGAGTCAACGCTAAAGTAGATGGAGCGATGTAAACTATTACTGACAAGCCACAATTATCGATTACACTACTAAATGGACTTCTCCATGATTTTCCCCATGAGTTAAGCACACATTGGTGTTACAGTGAAATCTCTTTCACCTTTTTGCCTGTGTTCTAAAATTAAACAGGGTGCTTTCAGAAATAAACAATTCGAAGAAACTTACCTTGTTTCAGCCATTTCCCTCACATTGTACGTTCAAAACTTAAAATGAAATTAATAATAGTTTTCCCTCAGTTGAACTCGGACTATACAGGCATACGCGGATGTCGGAGCGGTACAGTTTCTCCCGAAACTCCACCCCTGTGAGCGAGTCACTCAATTGGGACTCTCGCCCTCCCCTCCTCCACTCCCCGCACGGTGCTGGGCAGGATGTGTAACCTGATCTCAGGCACTGTCTCGCTTTAGATTGGGGAACGAGAACTGACCCCCCCCACCCCTGCAATGAATTCCAAATCAGTGGGTCCATCTGTTGGAAAGGAGGATCTGGAAAAATGTACGCCAATATTTCCGAGCTTGCCCTCCGCTACTATTTAATTAATATTTTAATCGAGAGACAAGCAAAAATAAGACGTAGATATCCGTGACTCGATGAATAAAAATAAACAGCTTTCTTGATCTCTATGCTATCCTGGGAGAGTGAGGAACGTGTTTTATTTCAAAGAACTGAAAAATAGTCTGAGGTGATGTACAGCAAGCTCTGTGAAGTTGACCCCCCCTACAGACAGCACAAACGATGAAACCCACCCCATTCGCTAGTGCTACGTTTGTGCCGTTGAAAGTAGCGTTTGTGCTGCTTCCGTTTCCAAGATATAGCGCCTTGATTTTTCGGGGTCGTGACGTCACTCAGCCCTAACCCAGGTGTTTTAGGTGTTTTCTTTTAATTTTTAACCACGTTCTCGAAAACGTATTTTTGTGTACTCCTTTCATTGGTGAAGAGACACCAGTTTCCAAATGACGGGTGGTACAACACGAGAGCCCATATTCACATTTTTAGGTATTAGTTTCAAGATCGATATAATTTAACAATAAAAACAAAATTGAAAGCACGAGCATAATAATTTACTTGTCATAGACTTTACATTTCTATTCATTTTTGAAGTACAAAGCAGAAGGTGTTTCCCCTACCTTAAATATACGATAAAAATTGTTCAAATACCATGTATTAATTACAGAAAGCAGTTATATTGAAAATAAAAAATGTTTTTATTTCGAAGAGAACGGGACATTGTGAATCAATAAAGACGTTAACAAAGAAGCCGATGTAGTTATTTTGCAAATAAGTAAAGCATTTAAAAAATATATTCTCATTGACAGTAAACAAGCCACCTGGCGCTGCTAGCTTAAACAGCTCTCATTCCCGTGATTGGCTAAAACCCCCGAACAGTAAAGCGATTGGGTAAAGCGCCACAGCGGAAGTTCCGAGAACGTGTAGATAAACAGGTGATGGATGTTCTTCTTGTTCCGGTTAACCGTGTGTGCTGTATGAGCACGCTGGATATACAGTAACACATCCATTGGTTTCCAGTTACTAATCAATCTAAGAGAAGTCGCACTGAGGTCAAAACTGAATAGCAGACAAAGAATGTCATGGCACCCACAGCGCGTTCACTCCGACAGCATGTCACGATAGGAGTTCGCGCATCACGATCAGATCGCGATACCCATTGCGACTGGCGCATCACTGTCATATACCGCGATATGGCGTGCCCCCGACAAAACGCCCACCCCCATGCCGCGATACGGAGTCCACATATCGCGATATGACAAACGTCACCGGCGCCCATGTCCCGACATGAAGCCCGCATATCGCGATATGACATACCCCGGCAAAAATGCCCCTCCCCATGTCGCGACATGAAAGGCCCTATATCGCGATATGACATGTCCAGCCAAAACGCCCACCCCCATATCGCGACATAGAGTCCACATATCGCGATATGATGCAAACTGCCACGCCCATGTCGCGACATGAAGCCCGCATATCGCGATATGACATACCCCGGCAAAAATGCCCCGCCCCATGTCGCGACATGAAAGGACCTATATCGCGATATGACATGCTCCAATAAAATGCCCACCCCCCATATCGCGACATGGAGTTCATATATCGCGATAGGACATACCCTGACAGGATATGCTGACCCCATGTCGTGACTCAAAGTTCATATATCGCGACACGTCCTATCTTGGTATATCCAGTCCAGATATGAGACCTTCGTTGCGACAGCGGTGCCGGGGTGGCATGGAAGCAAGGCGCCAGTCGTTATATAAACTGCCGCGATATACATGGGGTCCCTTTTTATGACATGCTGCTGAGGGCTTGTCGCGATGGTTACGCAGTTATGTGTTTGGCAACAGTGTGTCACGGTAGGGAAATAAAAGGAAAACGTGCCTTTAAAAAATAAAAACCATAGATCTTACATTCACGATGATTTTACGTACATTACAACCACAGGTTTATGTCACAGATTATTAACTTGTTGGCGTGCGTCTTGTTTTAGCTTTATTCACATCTAATGAATTCTCATATGTTTATTGATATTGATTGTTTTTCAAATATAATATATAATAGATCAAAATGGTTCTCGGTATTGCTAACTGAAATTGCTCTTATCTGAGTTGAACCTCTTTGTTTTACTTTATTTTTGTTGCAATGGAAAATTTATTTTAATCCACGGAGATCTGAGAAACATTGCCTGGAATGAAGCGTTTCCTAAGTTTGATGTCAATTCTCCTGTCACATATATATTCCTGTTAAAACAGAACACACCCTAACATGCCAAAAACAACTTTAACTTCAAAACCCGAACAAAAAAGGTGTATAAAATCCCCATCGGATTTTCTGTGCATCTAAATCTGTATCTTAAAATACAAGTGGAAACATTTTACTGAACACATTCACAATCTCAGTTTACTGTCTTAAGGTTTTTGTTTTAACACGAGTAGTCAATTAAAAAAATAGTTTTGTTTTATTGTATTTAGACTGTTACTAGATTAAAAAAAATAGTCGACTGCTCAAATCATTCATTTCCTCAAACTTGTATGTACCTATAAAAAGTCGTAAAGCCCGACTGGATGCAGTCAATTAAATAATTAAACTAAATAAGTAACTAAGCTCAAGTGAAGCTGAAATTTGACGACACTAGGCTCTCCTGGAACGGAGTTTGAGTTATCTTTCCCTCAAGGAAGAGTTGAAAAAGACGCGGAACATCATTTTATGTTCAGATCGTTGAGACTCAGAGATTAAATTACAATCAAAACAATTAAAAATAAACATATCTGACTTTCCCAAAAGCAGTATTGGATTAATAACTATGTTGTACACGTATTGTTGGCAACACAGGGGTTTAGCACATTGTAGATATAATTGATTGCCTTAGGTTGCTTGCTAGAATTGTTACAATTTAAACCAAGGAATTGTTTGGAACCTGAAAATAACGAAACCCCAGATACGGAATTTACGATAAATATGTAGGCAAATCATAATTCATTTGTGCCAAATTTCTTGCAGAATTTATAATTGCGTTAATAAAACTGTGCATGTGATATAGCTAACAATTTGGTTTCCTGATAACCTAAGAATCTATGCTGTTTTACGTCAGACGACTATTGTTTGTTACGTGCCACCAAGTTATGTAACAGTGACACCTGCTGTTTGATTGAAATACGCCGTATTAAATGCTGAAACGAGAAGAGGCTGCCCTATTAATTTTGTTCTTGTGGTAGTTTGAGTTTGGTATTTCAGTTAAATTAACTGTTTGCCCAGCCATTTCTTGAATGTGCCCATTCAAGAAATTTGGACCTACACATACACCCTGAGCTCTTTGTGGAAAGTGTTTTCTGTTCTCACCACTGTAAACCCATATCCCTCGCTCAGTACTAAATATGAAACAGTTTCCTGGATTAACCCTATCGATGTCCGTTATAAATTGTCCGTTATAAAGATGTTGGCAGTTGTATGTGCTGTTCCTGTTTTTAGTACCTGAATAAAAATGATATTTAATCTGCACTGTATGTACAACTGCAGAGTTAACACTTTGTACCATAAAGACCTTCTCACCGATGACTGAGACCAGTGACCAGTTGGACATGGTGATCTGGCCTAATACAAACAGGACACAGCTTGCTCAGGCTGTACTCTGCTAAGAGTACATTACATTAGAGTAAATTACAGGGATGCCATTCATCTTTGCAATCAACGAATTCATTCTAAAACTGAAAAGAAAGCTAACGAAAATTTATTTCAATTTAATTGTGACTTCATAGACAGTCAGAAAACCCTTCTGGAGTTATCATCAAGTTGCGTTGAAAAATATTAGGGAATCAACTGTAGTATTTTAAAGATTTGAATAAATCGCTGGTTTAGCGCCGGGCTCGGCGTTACGCGGTTGTCATGGAGATCTCTGACGTGACTTCCCTTTCCTACTCCCCGCCTACAGCTGAATGATACCCGGTAGTGATGTCAGTTCCCGGAGTTAAGAAACGTGGCCTTAGTAAATGGGCAGTGATAGAGGTGTAGCGGTTAGTAATACTATAACAGTAATTAAGACCTGCTCGTGTGTAGTCTGACAGATATATTTTGATCATTTTGACATCTGAGCATTGCACGTAAACATGGCCGATGTCGACCAGGGATCGACATTTTCCAGTGAATCCGCTTCTCCGGCGCTTGACAGTCTAAATGCCAATGTCTCCAATGGAACCGACTCCACCAATGCCACGGTAGCCAAGTTTGTTTCGACACCTGAAGGCACGGCTTTGGCATATGGAAGCCTCGTATTTATGGCCCTGCTCCCCATCTTCTTCGGAGCGCTGCGGTCAGTCAGCTGTGCCAAGAGCAAGGTATGGTGTTTTGAGAACAAATGAGCTTTTTATCAAGATGGGTTTACGATTAGCATGACGACTCTATTGAAGGCTTTATTGTTCCATCTGGTGGGTTTTCGGCTTTATTTATAACATTAAAACTTACACGCTGCAGTATTGCAAAAACACCCAGACAGCGAAAGAAATGTGTATTACGTGCAAAAATATTTTCAACAGCAAGGCGCTTAACTTGGGAGATATACAGCCGTTATTGCAAAAGAACAGGCCTCATCCGTAAGCACTGGTTTGCTGCATTTTTATTTTAGTGTTTCAGTCGAAGATGATCACAGCAGGAACTGAGGCTTTATTGGACCGACACTAAGAAGGGGGAAAATTCTCCAGAATGGAAAACTTCCGTGGTACATAAAGTCCCCTTGTAACCAGATTGTTAGGATACTAGGAAACGGCATCAGGCGTAAAGACAACCGGGGCGTCTCAAAAGCACAGTATTTCCTGCGGGTAGCGCTCTTATTCGTGGACCTCATCACTTGTGAAAGGGCGAATGTTCAACACATTGAATGAATTATGCTTTTCTGCACAAACAAGCACCGAGTTTTAGCGATGAACACAACAGCACTAATCAAACATTCTTATTGATGCACTGTGCATAGTTCCTTTCTAACTTACGATACCAGTACGTAGACACCCTCATTGCCTGGCTAATTAATCCTCATGAAGCATTTATTAAAACCGTAGATAGCTGCTCTAGCTAGGATTTCCTTTCCCCTTAAAGCATAATTTGAAGAAAGAGGCCCCCACAACATACCATCAATGGGTTGCTTATATAATCCCAGCAACGGTGTCTTCAATAGTTGTTTTTCCCCATTTGTGTGCATGATGCTTGTGGACTAACAGGGTTTCAGAAGGTATTTTTTTAGTCATGTAAAGCTGGCCTGTGAGGTGCAATAACATTGCCTTTTTTCTGGGATGACTAAAGCTAGCAAACTTTTAACATTCTCTAAAGGGAGATGTGTGGATTCTCTTAATTTACTCTGAAGCTTAGAGGTTACTGTGTTGGGTGCATTGAGTTTATTGGCTTCTGGTTCTGCTTTAGGAAGTATGTCAATTGCGTCTAAGAAAGTCCAGTGCTTTAATTTCTATACACTTGTTCCATAGGTGCCTCCTGAAAATGATTGGGCTAATGAGTTCAGAGTGAGTATTAGCACTGCTAGCACATAACTAAATTAATAGGGGATTTTCAATGTTGACTGTCTGTATTGATCCCTAAGGCTGTGTAAAGTTGATATATTTGAGTTAAATGGGTGTGTTTAAGTATCTTAACCATTGTTGATGCATTTTTCTTTCTGTAAAGGGATCACTTTCAAGAAGGGAAAGTAAGAATGTGCCTATTAATGTTTTGATTGTAAGACAAGTCAGTTAATTTCACAATTAACACATAAAAAGTAGTGTACATGTAAGAAAAGGGGAAAGCAAACTGGGTCTTTCATTTGTGCGATACTGTGTTTTGGTCTGCAAGATTATGTGGCTGATGTATGGTGACGTAGTTCTGTTTTCATGTCATGTGCACAGAGCACGTTGTGGAATTAATCAACACAATGTGGGGGTGAGTCTAACCAACATTGGAAATGTTTATATGGGCTTTCCCTTAGGTTTGTGAAACAACAATCGGGCTCGGATTACTCTCACCATTCCACATGAATGTCTCCACAGACTGGAGATCCTCAGCCGAGTTTAGTCTTCCAGGTTTAGAAAGACCCACACAGCCAGATGAGGAGAAACACCTTTCATTTTTCAAAAATGAACTTGTCAGTATCGTAGGAAATTGTATACTGTAAGTTAATTCTTTGGAAAGGCCTGCTGATAATGGAATTTACACCTGAAGTACTTACCTGGAGTGTAACTTACCAAATAAGTCTTAGACCCCAGATGATCTTTTATGTGTGCTTTTAGGCAGGTTCATGGGTGTGCTTGTTTCTAGCCCCTACATTTGTTGAGTATTTTTGCTTCAGGGCAGCGACAAGTATGGTCAAGTTTCTGTTGGCGCCTCACTCGCCACTTTTGTGGTCGAGAGCTCCACAGGTGTGCAAGCTCACAAAAAAAAAACAGCTCTTGTGGTCTTTACGAGTCATGAGTCTTCACAGAGAAGCAGCGCCACTGGAGTGAAATTCAAATGACACGTTCCCCTTGAAAAAGGACCTCTTTCTTGCTCCCCAGTGGTTTTTGTTACCCGTAATAATGTGACCTAGTTTGTGAAGGCTGTTCTAATTTTACAAACGAAACCCTGTGGAATTTGCAATGACATATCATGTGCAGCAGTTGAGTTTCATATCAGTGTAGGTGCATATTGTACGAGAAGGATGTGTATGCACAAACTAAAAATGATATCCGGTAACTCGAAACAAAAGCAATCAACGTGCAGTTTGCATTTCTTTGTCTCTTTTGGAATGTTGTCTCCAGAAGGCTCCTGTCCAATAGGGATCTGCATAAAGAATCACCAGATGTAGAAAGAACAGATTTTCTATTTTAAGAGAAATGATGCCTTAGGTATCCATGGATTCTTTAGTATGGTCACCCCTGCCATTCCTGTGAGTTGCAGCCTCCAGGGACTGTGATGTCAGTAAGACTGGTAAATAGTGGAAAAGAGACTGGCAAAGACAAGTAAATAGATCACTTGAGAAGATGGGGGGAGGAGGAGCCTTGTGGAGGTACAGAAAGTGTAAGGACAAAGATCATGGGCAAAAAATGATGGTGGGGAAGCCTGTTACATATTTAAAGAAAACAATGTAGATCATTTAAACCACTTTCTTCAGTGGAGGTTTATGCACATTTAGACCATTTCCCTTGTCTCTCTGTCCTCTCCTCAGAACTCCTCGGACATGCCAGAAACCATCACCAGCCGAGACGCGGCCAGATTCCCCATCATTGCCAGCTGCACTCTGTTTGGGCTGTACATCTTTTTCAAAGTAAGCCTCTGTCTCTTTATTGCTTGCCTTTTGGACAGGCCGGACGAGACGCGTCATAAGAAACGTAAAGGCAATATCTGAAGATGGATGACTAACGGGGCCCTGTTAGTCTTTTTAGAGTATTTCACAACTTGTATGTGTGTCAGTGTAGCCTACAGTAACCGCCCGTGTGGGTTGTGTCTTCGCACACGCACTGCTGCTGGAACTGTGCATGCTGGAGGCTCCTGCCTGGAGCAGACTTGGAGTTGAAAGTCACCCTTCCGTTAAGACCGAAATGGATAATCGGCAACAAAAAACACTTTAATTCCTTAATCAATACAGCTTAAAACTAAATAAGGATGCACAGAAGAAAGAAATTTTTCATCATTTATATGAGTACTATATCCTCATTAGCACATCTTGTGCCCAGAATAAAAAAGAAGTGACCAACAGACTTAACTACACCTTCACATTAAAGGGGGCACTGTTTTATTAAAAGGGACATTCAAAGTAACCCTGTCAGAAAACTTCATAGTCACAGGAGTTTACTAAACGGGAATTTATAAGCTAAGGTAATTTGGAACAGCACTATCTGGTCTCCGACCTTAGGGAGTTCTGTGAACATTTAAACAGATTTAACTTCAAATTAAAAGAAAATATAGTTCTCGCTTGCCTGTCATTACCTCTCATTTCTCTCTGAGGCAACTCAGAACACTGGGAGCATCACTGTCTTGAGTTGGAAATATTCCGTAGACTTCTGGCAGGAGCAACACCTTAGGTTTAATATCTATCTTGACTGTTGATTAGGCAATAGACAGTGGGTATTAAAGTAGTCACTCTTCATGACCCACCTTTGGATTGAAGCAGTTGTTCCTCTGCAATTTTGGTTTACAGTAACCCTCGTCATATGAATTTAATTTGAACCTCGAAAACTGCTTGAAAGTGTATAACAAATCAAATTCTGATTATGTCCCGGGTTATAATCTCTGATTGGTTCCTGAATTCAAACGCTTCCTTAGACACTCAGGCTCCACCTTGATGCAGTACAGAATGGTATGAAAACAGTAACAACCCTGGATAGCTATTCGAGTAACATGCTTCAAGTCATTAGCCGATGCATAAACAATAGATAGGAGAAAAATAACATGCCTGCTTGTTTATGGTGCAGTAGTTACATCATTAAAGTCATTAGCAAATACATAAACATTATTCTTTTATATGGAAACCTTTTTAACACGAACCTTAATTATAGAAATGTTAAAATATAATAAAAAGTAAATTCCTCATCTGAGAACATATGCAAACAAGAATCTCAGCAATGCTTTATGAGAGCCTAGCTAGAGTGAAACGCTGCATGTTAAATGGAAAACAAAAACAGGTAGGAAATTGAAAATTCGAATACTGAGGGATTACTGTACTTGCGTAGTATTTAAAATATAAATTGGAAAAGTAGAAAGTCTGCTTTTTATGGTTTAGTGGTTGTCTTTGGTGCTCTGAGAAAGCCTGGTATGACCTGTTAACAACTTGTTCATGTAAGGCAGGTCTTCACTCTAGAACTGGTTGGGGAAGGGATGAACGAACCATCATTGAAGAGTATGGCTGGGTTTGTCCATTTAACATCAGTAATACAACAGCTGGTGGGCAAAATACAAACAGCTGGGGGGACAAGTACAAAGATGCATATTTGCTTTTTTGTCATATTAATGTACTGACATAATTTTTCTGTTTCCTTCAGATATTTTCTCAAGAGTACATCAATTTGCTACTATCAATGTACTTCTTTGTGTTGGGGATTTTAGCGCTGTCACACACTATCAGGTAAGTTCTTATTTAAAAAAACCGACAAGCACTAATAGTCCTTAAAGTCTGTGTAGACTTTGAATCCTTCCAGAGCAGGAGTTGAATACTGACATATTTACTTGTATGACTTTAAAAAAAAAACCTGAAATTTGTTTTTGACCGAGCAGTTTGATATAGGTGTTAAATGAAATCTTGACTTGATTGTAACAGAAGTGCAGTGTTGAAAGTGTGATATACAGGATTGAGCAAAGTATGAAATTGATCACTGGGAAGATTGTATGAACCTTTAACTTCAGAGAAAGGGAGAAAATGTTCATTTGAGTTCTATAGTTTATGAAAATAAATGTTTTTTTTATATCTTAATGAACTTATTTGTTTTCCAGTCCCTTCATGAACAAGATATTTCCTGCAAACTTCCCAAATAAGCAGTATCAGCTGCTATTCACCCAGGGATCTGGGGAAAACAAAGAGGGTAAGAATCTACAAAATATTAGAATGATGTGGTGCCATATATATTACGCACCTTTTGTACATTTTATCATTTAATCCTTTGATGAAATGGTTGTTTGCTTACTTTAGCCTGTTTAACTGTCCAAAACCTGAAAGCTCTTAACAATTTAAGGTATGTTCTCAAATTGTTAACACTAATTACACAGTCACAATGTATTAAAAAGTAAATTGCCTGGATAAAACAAGTAAAAACACGGTGCATTTAAATGACAAAAATAAAGAACTTGGTTCACTCCTGAAATGGATATCTGGGTTCCATATCCAGTCCCATTATGTCTACATTTTATCATCCAGGTGTTGTGTACAGTCTAATCCACTGTTGAGAGATTTGACCTCTAGAATTCCTGCACATCAGATTGCATGCATGCACTTCACTGGCACTGGCGGAAGCTCTTGGGTTTTATAGATCGTACACAGCATCAATTTTAAAAAACATTTCAACAGTATTCTTATACAATGGAACAAGTAATAGGTTTATTCCATGCTGAAAAAAAAGAAGAGAGAAAACACAACTTTTCGGCCGTGGAGCCTTCTTCCACCTGAACATCTTATACAATGTAATAGTTGTCTTTTAATGTTTTACCAAGCATATGAAAAACTTAATTTGATTGCAAGTCTTTAACCTTTTTGTTTTGCTAAAAGGATGTTTTGGTGAGTGTATAAATACCATGTAGTTATTATAATACAAAATTCACACTGTAGCACTGTTCTGCATGATGGAATAAAATAACAAATATTGAAATTAAAAGGTTTGTGATAATCATGCATAGCAGGTCTAGATTCCCATTAAAACACAGTTCCAGAAAAGAGAAGGTCACTTTGGAACACATATCAAAATAATTGCTATGTGGGTTACATTGTAAAATGTTTGTATGTTAAGTGGTGTGTCTTTGTACTTTGTTTCAGAAATTGTCAATTATGAGTTTGATACCAAAGATCTTGTGTGCCTTTGCTTCAGCAGTGTGGTTGGAGTTTGGTACGTCCTCAAAAAGGTAAAAAGCACCAACATTTTTTTCACTCACACAGCTGCAACCATATTTTATTTTAAAAATTTAGTCCTGAAAGAGGAACACAGCTACTCCAGCTACTCACCACCAGATGGCATTGTCTCCTTAATAATAATAATGATTGCTTACACTTATATAGCGCTTTTTCTGGACACTCCACTCAAAGCACTTTATAGGTAATGGAGACTCCCGTCCACCACCACCAATGTGCAGCCTCACCTGGATGATGCGACGGCAGCCATAGTGCACCAGAACGGTCACCACACATCAGCTATCAGTGGGGAGGAGAGCAGAGTAATGAAGCCAATTCATAGTGGGGGATTATTAGGAGGCCATGATAGATAAGGGCCAATGGAAAATTACACCCCTACTTTTTTCCGAGAGATGCCCTGGGATTTTTAATGACCACAGAGAGTCAGGACCTCGGTTTTATGTCTCACCCGAGGGACGGCGCCTGTTTACAGTATAGTGTCCCCGTCACTATACTGGGGCATTAGGACCCAAATGTACCGCAGGGTGAGTGCCCCCTGCTGGCCCCACTAACACCTCTTCCAGCAGCAACCTTCGTTTTTCCCGGGAGGTCTCCCATCCGGGTGCTGACCAGGCTCACACCTGCTTAGCTTCAGTGGGTTGCCAGTTGTGAGTTGCAGGGTGATATGGCACTTAACAGCCTTGTCAAATTGAACTTAATTAATAATAATAATTGCTTACACTTATATAGCGCTTTTTCTGGACACTCCACTCAAAGCGCTTTACAGGTAATGGGGACTCCCCTCCACCACCACCAATGTGTAGCATCCACCTGATGATGCGACGGCAGCCATAGTGCGCCAGAACGCTCACCACACATCAGCTATCAGTGGAGAGGAGAGCAGAGTAATGTAGCCAATTCATAGAGGCTTAGAGGAAATGTACAGGCAAAGTTTTTTGGTTGATTGTTTAGATACTTTATTGATCCCGTGAGGGAAATTGTAGTGCAACAGCAGCTTTACACAGACACAGTGTAACAAATGATACAATAATAATAATAATACAATACATACAACACGATCAGTACAGTGAGTAGTGCAGAAGTTAGTTATGTACACAAGAAATTAAGACTTTGCTCCCTAACCTCTAGAAAATGTGGGCTACTGTAATCAGTTAGCAATCAGTTATGGAAGTGGGAATCACAAAAGCGGAGAGCCCTTAAAATGAAATATTTCAATTTAACATAACATTCTGTATACTAGAATATTTGATTACATTAGCACAGCAAGTCCAGATGCTTTTAAAGTCCAGACTTTGTGTGCTCAGCTGGAATACACTAATGACAGGCAAATGCTAAGTAAACATTGCAGAGTGTGAAATAAAAGCAGTTGTATTTAGAGCTGGGGTAGGGGCAGTAGCCTGGGAATGAATGCTTATCACTTGTGTTTAAGTCCTTCTTTGGAGATGACGATTGGAGAGTGTGCATAATCAGACTATATATCTAATTTCCTCATGGATCACACGATTAGAACCAGCTTATAATTATTGCACCTGTATTGCAGCACTGGATTGCCAACAATCTCTTTGGGTTGGCTTTTGCTCTCAATGGAGTGGAGCTGCTGCATCTCAACAATGTCAGCACTGGCTGCATCCTCCTGGGAGGCCTCTTTGTATATGATGTCTTCTGGGTAAGTGGAGAACGTTCTTGCCTAAGACCTTAGAGTCACATCTAAGAAAGAAGTGACTACGTGCACAATCTTTTAGGTGAGCATTGAAGTATTGGGAAAGTATTGCAAAACACCAAAAAATGTTATCTAAAGAAAAAAGATTACCAATAAATTTGAACAAGGTATGTTTTTGATGTTTTTTTGCTGAATTCTTTTCATATTTATTTTTCTAGTATTTCTATGAAATAGAAATAGTATGGTATTTGTCGAATTTAAGTGGTTTAATGCAAAAAAAAAAAAAGTTGTTCAAGGCCAGATGTGTTTAGTGGAATTAACAGAAGTGTCTTCCATGTCATGTGCCTTTTCCAGGTTTTTGGGACCAATGTTATGGTGACAGTGGCCAAGTCATTTGAAGCACCAATTAAATGTAGGTATTAAAAGTCAAGCCTTTTCTTCTGCTCGTAAAGGTGGAAATGTTTTGAATAGTTTTCCGTGTTGGTTTTTGGGCTGAATGATGTAAAATGCTGTTTTAACTTTGCTCAGTAGAACCAGGAGTTGGACAAAGCAACATTTCCATATGCTGACAACCACCCTGTTGTCGCAGTTAGTGCTGAAGGGCAGATCAAGGTCACAGTGAGAGTCTAAACTGTACTCCAAACTGAGTCTGAAAGTTCAGGAGGGAGTCTGATAGCTCCTGCCAGCCCTGGAGTTGATGTGCTTTCCGAAAGGAGAGAGGTTTCATTCCCTAATTATATGCGGGTTACAGACCTACGCTTTTGACATGCAGTATCACCGTGTTAAACCTTGCCCTGTTTAGTTCTGGACCTTTCTATGATGTTTTTGTAACTTGTAGTTTTTCCATGTTTTGTGTGCATGGCAAATTTTCATGTTTTAACCCGGAACATCACTTTAAAGTCTTGCATTGGTTGGATTGGGTTTGGTAGTTTTGTTCAGGAGGATAGAGGGAATAGTTGTGAATTAAGACCAAAGGTTCTCTGAAGGTTGTCTGTTACTCTCTTCACAGTGGTTTTCCCCCAGGATCTCCTGGAGAAAGGCCTAGAAGCCAGCAACTTTGCCATGCTAGGTCTGGGTGACATTGTGATCCCAGGTAATATATATCCAACTGTACTCTAGCAGTTCTGTTTTTCCTTCTTTTAGATGTGTAAACCTGTGAGCAAAGTTTTTAACTGATAAATTCAGTTTCATTTTTCACTTCTCTGGCTTTTAAAAACAGAAGCAAATGCTGGTTTATACTGCATAATTTGCATTCTATAAATTCTTCCTCATTCGTGGTGATTTTTCTGTTCATCCACCAGATGGCTGTGTAAAAAGGGGGTTGTTGAAAGATTGGGGTATATTCACTATTTCCACTAGAGGGCAGTCTTCAATTGTTATTATGTAACATTGTAATGTTTAACTGTTAATTCTTCGATTTTAGGTATCTTTATTGCGTTACTTCTGCGTTTTGATGTCAGGTGAGTTTTATTTTTTTCAGTAGTAGAACCTTTCATTAATGTTATGTCATTAATGTTCTTTGACGTTATCCACGGTTAAAGTGTTTTACTTGAATATTACACAAGGCAATGCAATTGATGAGCAAAATTAACCTTTTCACAAATTTGTTAAATGCACCATTGTATCTAATTTGTCATTTGTTTTCTTTTCATTGTTCCAGTCTGAAAAAGAACACCCGTACCTATTTCTATACCAGTTTCTTCGCCTACATATTCGGCCTGGGCCTGACTATATTCGTCATGCACACCTTTAAACATGCTCAGGTGAGAAAACATGCTTCCCTTTTGCTGTGAAACTAAAGGAAGGCCTTGCTTTCTTTCCTGCAAGCTGACATTGCAGTTTACACAGCAACAAAGCTGTCTTGGGGGAATTTTCCAAAAATACATGTTCACCTTTAGGGCACACTGTGTCACATGCTTGAGTCTAAAATACACATTTACCAGAGGCACCCACTGAACATTATCAGTGTGGTGGTGTACTGTGCTCCTGGTGGATTCAAAGAGAGTTTTGGAAGCCCTGTGTAGTGCTGTAAAATGAAATCTGTAAAGAAGAGTCCTGATTATTGCTGTCTGTCTCTGTCGTTTTCTAGCCAGCTCTCCTGTATCTGGTCCCAGCCTGCATTGGATTCCCGGTTGTGGTAGCTCTTTTAAAGGGAGAGCTGACTGAAATGTTCAGGTAAGTTGTTGTTTGTTTTTTTTGCATTTCTTCACTAGCCTTTAGAACTCGTCTTTGAGAATTGTGCGTTGGAAGCGAGACTCCTGTTTAATAAGTCTATATAAATGGGAGCAAAGCTCCTATGTCCGTATGAAATTGCTTTTGGCAGTGGTTTCAGTCTCGGCTATCCCCTAGCCTCTGAGAGGTGCGTAAACCTATTGGCAGGTGGCACAGGTCCCAGCTCAACTCTTTTGCATGTGGCACTGTGTGGTACTGACAACTGCAAGAATATGTGATAATAGATGCCATCTAAATTAAGCACAGGTCACACCCCCTGTGCCTCCAAGGAAGGTAGAAAACATCTGTACATCTGGATAATTTCAGAAAGAGTAAATCTGTGCTAGCTGTTGGCCACCCTCTTCTCTTGTCCCTGTTCGTGCATCCAAACTGCCTTCCCCTGGAACTCCTCCCCTCCTCTGCGCCCCAGGGGGAGAAAAGATGAGTGCTAATAATATCAATGCACACTGTTGTGAGCAACACCAGATTTGTTGGAGCTTTGTCCTTCGTGGTTTAGTTTTGTTTCTTTTCTTCCAAAAGCGATCCAGCTTCCCTGCTCCTGGATTGCACTGACAGGGTCAGACTTGTGCACCCTTGAAGTATTTGCCAGAAGGAGGGAGTGATTATAGTCAAAACAGCTTAGTGAAAACAGGCAGCTGTCTGACCACCAGTGCACAGGGACCCCGTGTGTGGAGGCGATACTCTACAGCTCTGCGTCCAGCTGCTGCAGTTTTGGGGGGGGGGGCTTTCCCACATCGCTCATCTGCCTGAACCTCTGCTGCCACCGATCCTCGGATAATCGCCATGGCAGCAGCGAGCTGGTAACCGTGTTTCAACCGGAGCCTTGGCTGTCACCCGGCCCGGCTGAAGCGCAGGTCTATTCTAGATTTATAGGTTCAGCCCCAGCTCTGTCTGCGTCGGAGAAAGATGTGATGTGTATATTCTTTTCCCCTTTCTCGGTGTGAAGCCGCGTCCTAAATGTTTTCTTCTCCTCCTCCTCCTCCTGGCTCCTCTTGTCCTTTCCCTGCTCTTCTTGTCGTTCTGTTCCCTCTCCTCCTCCAGTTATGAGTCTTCTGCCGAGGTCATGCCACACACCCCACGGCTCACCCACTTCCCCACTGTCTCCGGCTCGCCCGCCAGCCTCGCTAACTCTATGCAGCAAAAATCCTCCTCTCCCCGCCGTAGGCGGCACAATGCCACCGCTATGTAGCGGCCAGAGAAGTGCCAGCTGTATCTGACTGGTCAGGTACTATTTCCTCTCTTCCCTCTCTGCTTGCTAATACAGCACCAGTAGCACTCCTGCCCTCCTGTGCTGACACAGGGCCATATGTACAGTAAATCACATTTGTAAGGATTTGAAAAGGATAAATGGGAGAAATCTGGATTTTTGTAGAAGAAGCAAAACTTCAACCATTGCCTTGATTTTCGGCTTGGGATCCCTGGGAGTTTTGTGTTGCTGGAGAGGGCTGGTAAGGCTGTTCTGGGGCTCGGCGTAGTTTGTTCACTCCAGACCTTTTATCTCAACCCTGGCTCTTTGCTTTCTCCGTTTCTTGTTTTTCATGAATCCTCTCTGTCTCAGCAGCTCCCGAAAGATTGCTCTTGTTATTCCAAGAGCCTTCGTAATCAAGAAAAACGCTATTATTCATAAAACCTTTTTTTTTGATGGCATGCGTTTCTGTACCCCTTATGCAAGATGTTGAACTGTAACTCACTGAATCGGTTTATTTTATTTGTGTTCCATTTACATTCACCTCATCTGTTAAGCCAACAACAGTGTGATGATTAAAGGAGAGCATGTCTTTAATTCGCTTGAAACGTTTTTGACTTGCAGCTGACTGGCATTTCACTCAGCTGTTGGAATCCACCTGTCAGTACTATGTTTTGTTTCTTTGTTTTCTTAGCTTGTTGAACTCTGGATTTTATTGTAACAGTCTCATTCTGTGATGCATTGCACTCATCGGCACTTATTTAGATCTGAGCTTGATAAGGGGTTGTGCAACAGTTCATTGGGAGAATGAATAAATATTGTTTTACATGCACACTGGCTTTTAAGGACAGTGTTTCTTTTTTCATAGATAGTTCGGATTTGAAGCGATGTGCAGCGAATGGAACTTTATTCCCCTCCGAACTGCATTTGAACTGATGTGACTCGGGAGAGTGTTAGCACAGTTTGAATTTTCACAAACCGTCAGTTTTTCTTACGATTGTGGATTTGTGAATGTTCTCCTGTTTAATGTTTTAATGCTCAGGAAATGTTTGTTTTAATTTTTTGTATTCTTTCAATGAGGAGGAGATGAGTTCTGAATTCTTAAAGGACAGTTTTCTACCATTGCTCTGCAAGTGACCTTCATTTCGCCTATGAATGCACGTCGACCTGCTTTTCCTTTTTAAAAAGGAAAGTGCATATATCATGACAGCACTCCTTAATTTTTGAGCCTTATGTCTAAATCTGGGCTTTGGGACCTTCTGTATGTAATTTGCATGTTGTCTCCCTGTTTCAAATCTGCAAGGAAAGCATGAGGACTAGCAGGCATCTTCCTCTGTCATGCCCACCTGTCAGAGACATTTGTTTGACATCGTGCTGATTGAAGGAACAGGTTATGTCTTGCAGACATCACTGCAAGTTGAAGGAGCTGTCATTGTTGGGAGCAGAGCTCCTAAGTAACTCAGTTCTTTTAATGTGTGCTTCTGCACGGGGACTCGCAGTCACATTAGCCTAGTGAGATCAGTAGCACTCATTTGAAGTTTTTTAGTCGATGTAATGGTGAAGCAACCTTCAGGACTAGCTCTAAGATTGCTATAGTGACCACCTTAGGGCTGATTTCATCTAAAAGTTTTAAATATTTGCTCCTGGTCCTCTCAAGTGGCTCGACCAGTAAAGGATAAAGATACTATTTGGGTTCGGTTGAGCTGTATAGTAAAGATGCTGCCAGTTCAGGCTTGGGTTTGGTAACTGGCCAGCTGTCACTGGGATTCTCCAGTCGGTGATGCACAGTTAGCTGAGCATTGCAGTGATCATGTGGGCTTGAGTCGACCAGGTTATCCATGCCCGCTCTTCGGCACCATCCTGTGAAACATGACTGTTACCTGCTTGCTAACCCAAGCCAGTGAGACCGTATCTCTTCCCCAGTGGGTGCCAGCTCTCCTGAGGCCCATATGGAGCTCACAAAGTGTCAAACAATGAGTCTCTCTGACTGGTTGGGGTAATGCAGCAGGTCATGTGTGGATCCTCATTCTCCCTGTGAGGTATTCCTTGTAAGCCATTCCAGTTAATGATAAATGAGCATTTCGTAATAGGGAGAGCATAAGATTAAAGGTTTTTGCAGGTTCCTGATTTAAAATAGTTTCATTCGTTTTTACACTTATCACAGTTGGTGGGGCAGTGTGTATTGGGTTTAGTATGTGTGTTAGGTTTTATAATTATAATGGAGCACGTCGTGGTGAGTCTGTTCATCACACTCACTCAACAGTTTATACCCTTCTTATTCTTTCAGCAGAAGTCTATGATTTGACGTGGATTATGTTGTTTTTGTTGGTATACAGCATGGTATGAATGTCCACGGGTTTCGAATTCCAAAGTTGGGCCTTGCAGCTATAGCTAATGTGTTGGATTGCACCTGTTAATTTGGCCTCCTGAGTAGCTTCCTGTGATGGACATGAGATGCACGTGCTGATGTGTTCCTGTTTTGTTTGTCTTCTTGTCAAGGTATGAAGAATCTTCCCCTCTACCAGAGGTAGCCTCTAACGAAGAGAAAGAGACCGAGAAAAAGGAAAAATAGTGAAAGTGAAGCTCAGCACATCGTACTGCCTCTACATTTCACAGCTCTGTATACTGATGAGGGAAGTTGGCAATTCTGTCGCGGATGTGTTTGTTGTACGAGAAAACTATATTAAAGTAATTGTATTTCATTGGATATTTTGTAGCATATAAGTGGTTTGTTTAAAGAAAAAAAGTACAACAGCGTATTGGTGCCTATGTATTCCATTTTTTATTTATTACAAATTGCCTTGCATTCTCATAGGCAGACTTTATTTTGATGTTAATTAAGGCCAGAATTTTAAATCTGTCACTGAAAATATTGCATTTTCCTTGTGAACCCGATATGACAAGGGGGAAGCACATATTTCTTTTATAATGACACCTATTTTAGGGGGTTCCTAAAGAATGCGATTGAAATATATTCATAGTTTTGTTCCGATTGGAATAACATTTAACTGACTTTCATAGTTTTTCTAGCACACTTTCTATTTTTTAACTTTATAACTCAAACGAAACCATTTTGTTATGTGCATGCACCAGTAGGATTATGTCAGAGGTCATGCACCAAATTTTAATGTGTGTTTCCTGTGCGCACATTCATGTTTAAATATATCCTTCTGCAGGATATTCAGTGTTCCTTCCTATTCTTTCGGATTTGTAAAACTCTTATCACCCATGTATGTTCTGCATTTACTGTCTTTTGTTGTTATAGCATTTAAAAGACTATTGGCTTGAATGTGTTATCTTCAGTACAGAGACAGTAAAGCAGCAATTCTTTAGAATATAACCTCGCTTTTAGTGTAAGATGAAGGATTAACTATATTTGCAATCCTAAAGATTTCTACAGCCTGTCATAAAGCACATTTATGATTCTTGAATTGCTCTTTCGATCAGTTTTAACCCATTTCATGTCATTATGAAGCAAGTATTCTTGAAAAAAAAAGTAAATTGTGAGATATCTAAAGTTTGTCTTCTTAATTCTTTCTACTGAATTAGTTCTATTACTAGACCACAGCGGGGTAATACTGCATCTCCATGAAGAATGATTTGCCTTACTGGATTTGGGATTTGACTGCAAACCTTAAATCAATGTATCTGGAAACAAATATCAGACTTCTTACATCTAAATTTCTTTTGAACTCTGATTTACATTCTGCACTTGAATCTACTGGACTCTTAGTCACTGATATCTGCTGAATACCTAATTTCATTGTATGTAACCATGCAAGCTGGAATGTCAATGTGGCATTACCCTGCTGGTTCCAAACATCTTCATTTTGTCCTTCCTGTTTGCAGTTATGTGTGTTAGATTTTTTTTCTTCTTCTAGGTTCTTGTAAGCAGGAAATTTATTAAGACCATTATGTTACTGCTGCACTTGGTCGGTGATAGACAAGCTACGTGTTTCTACTTATCAAATGCAGCAGCAGTTTTACAGTATTGTCTTCTTAAATCCCAACAGAAACTGGCAAGATCCTTGTACTGTTAGAAGTAAAAGAGTTTAAGGTTCTGGCTTTTCTGTGTTAGGGTTAGGTCAGATTAGGAGGGTTATTTTTTTATTTCATGTCCATGCTTTGCTTGATCTATGTTTTAAATATGCTATCATCTGCTTTTTATCCCCTATTGTACCAATGCAAGTTCAGGCTAGCTTCTTTGCGGAGGAGCTGTACCGTTCTGCAATAAACTGTGGTGTACACCACTGTAGAGATGCATAAATCTTCAGTGTACAGGTGTCTCTTTTTCTCACCATCTGTTAGTAGTTGGATGCACTGTAGTTGCTGTATAATGACTTGACAGTTCCAGAAAGCTGCTTGGGTACAGACTTAGGGCAGTGTGATAAATCTCAATCCAAGGTTGCTGGTAACTACTACTTTGATGCTGTAATACCAAAGAGGTTTTTTAAAGATTTGAATGCAAGGCATCAATGCAGTACAAGTTATGTACTATACCATCCACAAATCCGCATTGCATAGCTGTACAGAACCAGAAGTTTTAAATGGCATTTCTTACACCTTTACTTAGTGTTGCTAACAAGATGATGTGACTCTGTGGACAGCATAATTGTCTGAAGTCACTGAGCATCCAGGAGAAAGGTTTTAAAACCTGCCAAGCTGGAAATGTACACATCCTGACATGAAGAAAAGGAATGTTTGACTCTTATTCATGCCTGCAGAAACGTACCGGCCATTGAGAGGAAGCAGATTTGAAAGTTATGTTGAGCTTTTGTGCTTTGTGTTATTGGAGGCTGGTAGGGACAGGGTATTGACAGACCTAATTGAATGTGTCAATATGTACAGAGAAAACAGGCCTTGACAAAAACCAGAAACCGTTAACAAGCCCTGTGTGTTCTTCGGAAATGCTGATCTTCAGTAAACTGGGCAGGAGAACCCATTACAACTGGGTAGTGTGGGAAAGCGAGCGAGACTTTATTGTAATTAAACATTCTTTTAGATTAGCTGCCTATAAAATAAAAATGGGTATTTACTCAACCTTTGTCATATTTATTTTTTCTTACCCCCAATGCAGAAAGTGAAACATTTTTCTAGAAATCTGCCTTTAGACTTCCATATAATAGTGTAGGTGAGGGGGTAATTTTCTGTACCTATTTATAGACACTTATTTCCGGTAAATTTGTTTTCTATTTTTCCAGCTGTGTTTAACTATTCCCAAAGACATTTGAGCTTAATTTTGTTCTGTTCTGTTGACCAGGTGTACAAGTGCTGAAGTTTTCCATAGACCACATTAGATTCCTCAAATAGCTCTAGCTGACAGCCTGAATATGTCAATTTAATCAAAGTTACGTTTGAGTATTCTATTGTGAGGCAAAATGTCACTGTGCTTGAAGTTTGTGGAAGACATGTAGCCATTCCTTTTGATCATATGATAAGTTATAACAGTAAACGGAAGTAGTATCCGATAGTTGCTCATCAGATGTTGCTCTACAGTTTTGAACTTGGACAATCTGATCTTTGCTGGAAAACCCTTGTGTATATTTTGTAGCCTGGCCTACCTTCATTTTTTTCCTCACTTTCCAGTAATATAAGGCTGAGAAGTAAGTTGCTTTGCCCCTGCAGTGTCCCATGCTCTGGTCTTGGCAAAGTGTGTGTTGATTTACACTTTGAAAAAAGGAATATGTCTTCAAGTAGCAGATTTTTGTGCAGGCCAGCCTGGGCAACTTGCAAAGTCAACACCTCCCCACTGACAGCCTGACAGTCTTCTGCTCGTAAACTTCAGGAAATGAAGTGACTTGACTTTCAAGCTACCATGATGATTTAGGGCTTGCTGAGTGGAGTACCTGGAACCCAAATGTTTATTTCTGTCGGTGAAAGAGTCTCTGGGAGAAAGTTCTGGAATTCATCTCAAAGATGAGTTCACTATTCTAAAAACTGAGGAACAAGTTGGGAAAAGTCTGTATGAAGGAAAATGCGGATCACAAAATAAAAAGGAATACTGTATATTTTTTTCTCTCTTGTAAAAAAAAATTGTGGGCCTGTGATCTAAGCTCAGACACCTGTGAGTTTCACAGCTTGCTCCATATTAGTTGGTTGATGAATATGAACAAGGACTGGTTCTGATACCTCCTTAACAAGTTCCTGACAGCAAGGAGACGGTGGGATGTGTGTGATGTTTTTGCTACCCTTGGATTATTACTGGACTCATCAAAACAAAACTCCCATATTAAAAAAAAAATTGCAAGTAAAAAAATCTCCCTTCATTTTCTGATGATTCACTAACAATATAGTTTCACTCAAAAGAGTCTGCACAGTATTAACGCTTCATCTTTACCAAATGTGGTATACTCTATTTCACCAAATCAGAACTACTTTGAGGCATAAGGAAGTAGATGAATTTGTAATTGCCTGCTTGTAATATTGATGTTTTTTTTTTTAACATAGGAGAAAATGATTGATGTACTTTGGTAGTAGAGTCTACTTTAAATGCATTGTTTTCGGGCTTGGGTTGTTTCTCAAGGAGCTGATCCCGGGGGATGTGTTGTCTACTTTCCCATGGTCTCAGGCAGTGCTGGGCTGTGTCAGTGGTTATGAGGCTCCCTGAGGTCAGTAGCAGTTCAGCCTGCCCCTGGGCTGCTTTCAGTAGCTATCTGATGTCTGGGGGAGTTGGCAGCTGGAGCCTGGCAGCACAAAGCCCTGGTTTCCACAGCACTGATAACTCCTCACCCTCATGTCACCTTTGCAGAGAGAAGAGAGGCAGACCTCTTCCGCTCAGCTCTGATCTCTGGCCCAAATCCCTACCTTTTCCTTTCTTTTCACCGGCACAGATTTTTATAACTAGTTTTTTTTTTTCCTTGCACTGCTCTCCCCAGATCCAGGCTTTTCAAGGTCAATTTTCTCTATAAAGCTTATTCCCCATTGTGACTAGCTATCTAACAGGAGTAGTCAGCCACATCCTAAAAACAGTTACATCAAATACGGAGCCAGATAAATGTTGGTTTAAAAAATGTAAGCAAGCCAAAGTGCAAACGAAAAAGACAGGACAAGATTCATAGGCACCTGCTACACCACACAACCCAGGCTATATACCCCTGGTCCCCTCGATGAACAGGTGAACCTCCATTTAGAGGGGTGGGTAGACAAGCTCTGTAATCCAACACAAAATGGTGGAACAGACCGGCACGAGACAACAGGTCACGCACCACAAAAATACAATAACATTTAATACAGAAATGACATAGTTATAGATCCTTTTAAACACCAACTATATAGAAATGTCCTACATTGGCAGCTGCTCCTATGACAGGCCACAAAGGCCATGTGACACTGGTCTAGTACAGCCCTTCATTATACTCATACCAAAAAGTGTGTGTTAACAGGTCATTCAGTTTGTCATTATTTAAATATCACACCTTACCTGTCTTTCCACCAAAATTCACCTTCGGAGGAAGTGTCTTGTATATCGTTTCCTCCTTCTTCATCAGTTTCCTACCAGTAAGACCACTCCTTGCCACACACTGGATGGCTTGAAGACAGAGAAGCTGTGTCTGTCTCACAGCCCCGTTAGAGGAACCTCGAAAATCCTGGAGAAGTGCTGGGACCCAGGCTAGCAACTTTTCTGCCTGGGCTTGCGGAGAGTTTGCTCAGAGAGGATCGCTGTGGATGAGTAGAGATGGTGAAGAGTAACATGTCTTCTCTTCCAGAGCCCTGGGCTTATGTTTGGAAAGCTGCGAGCACCATCTGTCATCTTCTTCCGTGCTGTAGAACACGCTAATGTCAGATCTGAAAACAAAAATGACACGCATGCCTTCCAAATGTATTATGTATATCGAGTGAGATCCCAAGAGACCATTTTCCATTAGAATGTTTTGCTAGTTTATCCAGCGCTGGCCAATTTTAGAGAACCTCTCCGAATGAATGCAGAGATCATGTTGTTTTTCATTTCATGTTTTGCACATGTGTATATACAAGAGCTGGTGTGGTAAGGAAAAGCAAAAAAAAAAGGTTTTGAAGTTTTAGTGGATGTCTCTTCTAAAGTAAATCATTTGGCTGCTCTGTTACTCTGCTTCTTCCACATCAGGGCGAAACCATTGACCCCTTGGTGCCATAAGGGGGCGCCACTTACCTTCATATGGATGGTGAAGGGCTGGCCGAGACAATGTACAGATGGATAGTAGAGAAGTCACTGATTTATAGCGAGTTGGAGTTCTAAAATTGTAGAAGACGTCCTCTGGGGGCATGCAAGCTCAACTTGCAATAAATACCTAAAATGTTAGTATATTTTTTTTTATAGTTTGTTCAATTTGCGTAATATATATTAGACATCCTAACCATTTTTTAAATTGTTTTTTGTTGCACGTTTGCATCTTTAATGTAGAGAATTGTAGGCCAACAAATCAGGCCATGCAGGAGAGTAGGCGGCACAGAAGATGATGCTCTCAAATGCTGTATGTGTTGATTATTGCATTTTAAAGATGATTTCTCAGACTGCAGCTGGTAAATCATGGAGTTTCAGCTGAGCTAGCAGTGTGTGAAGGTGCAACAATACCACTAGGGGGCGTGATCAATGTGGTGTATGGCATTGTGGTGGTGATGGTAGCAGCCATCCATCTCTTTCATTTTTTTTTAGCAAAGGGTAAACTAAAGTCTAGGATGGTTTTATGGCCTGACGTTGCACGTGTGATGGGGAAATGTCAGTTTGAATCCAGTGCTCTGTGCCCACATGCCATTGAACACCCGAGTTATCATGAACAGGATGAGCTGAATGGCCTTCACTCTGCCTACTTCACCTTCTCCAAATCAGAAACTCATTTTTGTCACATTCCAAGCATTCTCATTTTTCTGTACACTTCTTGAGGACTCAGAAGAGTGATGTGCAAATTTCCATCTATTTGGTTCTCCGTACGCATGTAGATTTTGCCCTGCCATTGCTAATATGTTAGAGTTTGCTTCACAAATGTAGTTTTGTTTTGGTTTCTGGTTAAACTTGCTTGTTGTTTGGTATATCATTAGTCACAAGTTATTTTTAGTTTATGTCAAATGCAAGAAAGGATAAGGAGATTGCCCCTGGAAAAACAAAACTGGCTTATACGTAAAACTTCTGGTTCACAGTAGACTGCTTTGCTCTGCTTCAGGAACCACTCACTGTGCTCTTGTCCTCACAGGCTCACCAGCAGATGCTTCTAGCTTTAAAGCACTGTGAGCGTTCTTTCCTTGGTCTCGCTCTGTCCAGCTGGAAAAATCTCCCTGTTTGAAAAACAGATG